TATTAATTAAATGTGTTTGATTAATTTAATTTTCAACTTAAAAAATATTATATTGTCAATTTTTTATTGTTGAATAGATGAAAGAGAGAGGATGGATAAGAGAGTAGATTACCTAGAATATAAAACTATCATTCCCTAAATAAAATATTTTCCTCGTTTTTGAAAAAAATATGATCACACGATAAAAAATTATAAAATATTTTTCATGGAAAAAATCATCAATCTAACACCTAAAAAGTAGGAATTTGGGTTAAAAAAAAAAAAAAAAAAAAAAAAAAGAAAGAAAGAGGACATTTGTCATATAAAATAAACTAATCAAACACACTCTTAAAGTTCAATTACAACTGAAAAATATTTTTAAAAAAAATTAATTGACAAATAGGACCCGAAGCATTCCCCATGTTTGGTGTATTTGGTCCTATTTTTACTAGGGTCAATTCTAGCGTTAAATGATGACATATATTCGTGTTTTATCAATCGGCCGTGCTTGACGTCCAAGGCGCCATTTGGCGGCCCCCTTGCCAATAGGGGACGCAATTTAGGGGGAACCAAATGGCGCCCCTATCCATCTAGGGCACATGTGGTCTTGGACGTGTGGTTTTATCCTTTATCAATATATAAAAAGGAAAAAACTAATAGCCCTACATCGAGTGCATTGGGACTTACAATACTTCAATTTTTGTACTAGTGCAACCACTCTATTTGATCATAACTAATAACTATGCATCCAACTTCACACGTAAAAAAATATCACACTTTTGGAACTGGAAACTTCTTTTTCTTTTCAAATTGGATCCAATTTGTTACCACAACACAACTCAAGCAAATTCCAGAGTAGAATCATGTTCCATCCAAACAAAACATAAGAAACAAAAATAATAAAAAGTAAAATTGCTTTTAATCCTCTAGGCATGTGTGATAACTTGAAATCGAGTCAGTCATCGGAGTTTAAAAAACAGTGACTTTGTTCGACTCATAGACAAACTATGTACAGGAAACCACATTCATGAACCAACCCCACCTCAACCATTAATAAAGGTAAGACTAAAAAAGTCAACTGCCATAAATCTTTTGAAGGATTTTACACCTCCCACACATNTCAATATACTAGAACGGGTTAAGAACACTCATATAATGTGGCGAATCTTAAAATACAACTATTTAACATTTCTTTTATTTTTTGACGAGTCTTAACATATATAGTTGTTTAAACAGCTCTTTCACACAAATATAAGTAAATCAGAACTTCTGCTACGGCTCCACAGGAACAGTGAATTACTGATTCATTTGGCACAGGCAAGCTTTAGCTTCTACTGTCCTCAAGAAGATGGATCCTATTTTTGATGTGCTAAGAAAAATGAAAAGTGGAAGTTTTTTCGTAAATTTGTTTCAAGCATTGAAAATCTGTTCCACTATAAGATAATTAGGAGGGGTCTCTGGATTATTCATTTCAAACTGCTTTATGGCTTTCTTCATATTTCAATGTGAAGCAGAAAAAGCCACATCTATAGTATCTATGATCCTCTTCGCTAAACAGCAGCAGCAGAAGAAATTTCCCAACACTCACGGTGCTAAAAGATTTTTCAGCCAACAAAGAAACTGACAGTTGCGCGGATTTTGCATTTAAAAAAGAACCAACACATTTGTGGACCATTTGGTGCACGCCCACATATCACACACACACTGAGCCATTATTGAGAAAAACATTAGTCTTCATCTCAGAAAATTCCCAGAGCAGAGTCACAAAACCGTCTTATCTTAAGCAGCTTTCTATAGATCTGATGTATGAGTGGACCATTATGAAGCGCCAGACACCCTTACTGGGGGCCGCATGTCCATGTTTCACTCGTGAAGCCAACACTCTTCAGACACTTCAGGTTTGACAAGCACGTGCCATGTCCCATTTCTTATACAATTACACATTGTTTATATTTCAGACACTGGATACTTTTACACTCATGAGCGAATGCCTGGCATGCCATATGTTATGTCTTACACTAAAAAGTGTCCATCATTTCAGAAAAATCATGTGTCAGCATATCCATAGTATATATAATATCCGTGTTTTAATGTCCATGCTTCCTAGGTGGACCGAGACCTGTTTGATGAAAGGTATAGAAGAAGAATTACCTTGTCAGGCCAGCAAGTTTCGTACGGAAGTCATTGAAATCCTTCGATGGACCTTCGGCATTAAGGTAGTTCTGTAGCTCCTTCTCTGCACATTGATGGAGCCTTTCTAAACCAGCCTCTGCCTCACCTATAAGAACAGGATGGTATATATTGCATATAAACGAAAATGCTGAATATGATAAAACTCAACAGGTGTATAAGCAATTTTCAATTGAACAAGAGAAAACATGATACCTTGCAAATACTCAAAAAATTGCTTCTTAATCTGTTCATGTTCAGGCAGGTAGTATCCATAAGCATAGGTCCATTTCAACACCCTCCTACATTCAACTATCTGCAAAGATGTTTGCAGGTAGTTAGATTATTATTTTAACATCATGGTCGAGGCCAGTATCCCATTGGCATGTCCTATGCTATGACAAAAACAAAAATATCAACCTATAACATACTGATTTAAGTTTTAAAAAACCTTTTTTGGGCAAAAGCGACTCAGATTGACAAAATGGAAATTCTCTTGGTTTGATTCTTAAAATTAATACATTATATAAATGATTAAAAAAAAAAAATTAAGATAGTTTTCAAGTACGAATGCCAATGAGCAATTTCAGGCTCACATGCATAACATGTTTCCTCATCTGGGACTATACATACATATTATAGCAAGAAATAATCTAAAAGGATAAATATTTTTTTTGATAGGTATCTGATAATTTTATTGATTAAAAGAGAATACATGGAGGGTGTACAATCACTTTAAGCCATTAAGGAACAACATGAAATTAGGCAACCCGTTTACAGGATTTCTAATCACAGCATTAAACCAAGAATACAAATTAAAGTAAAATGTTTCTCTTATCTGCTCTCTTGTCTTTGTTTGGTCTTCGAAGCAGAGATTGTTCCTTTCTCTCCACACGCACCATACAATACAACCCGGGATAAGGTGTCATTCTAGTTTGGTATCCTTATCACGAAGTTTTCTCCGCCGTGCTCGTATCACGTCCTCTATACGACGAGGCATCACCCAATCCATAGATTGAGAACCAAGTATACTCTTCCAAATCCAACGTACACCATCACAATGAATGAACAAATGATCGATCGTCTCCTCGTCCTTCTTGTACATATAATACCACTCAGTTATGTAGAAGCTTTTACGTCGAAGATCATCCATCGTTGAGACCTGTTCCCTCACAATTGTCCACAATAAGAATGCCACTCGAGTAGGCAATTTACATTGCCACACCAACTTCCAGGGAAATGAATTATTCACACATCCCATGAGGGAACCAAAGTACGAGCGAACTGAAAAAAATGCCATCCCGTGCTGTCCTCCACCTGATACAATCACTCTCTCCTACCCGAATTTGTGCCTCATGTATAAAGGTCATAAACAACGAATAATCTTCCAATTCCCAATCTTATAGACCCCTCCCAAAAGCAATATTCCAGTTATAGCTCCCATTATGAATGACTAAGATATCACTCACCATAGCAGAGGACACTGAGGCAATGCGGTGCAAGGAAGGAAGTCCCTCTTTCAGCGATTGATCTCCACACCAACAATCATCCCAAAATCTAATCTCATTATCATTTCCGACCACAAACTTTAGTTTGTCCAAAAAATCACTCCATCCCCGTCGAATATACCTCCACAAACTCACCCCATAAGAACCACGATCCTCAAATGTACACTATCCCCCCTCCGTCACACCATACTTCGCCCCCAATTATTTCTCTCCAGAAGCTCTCCCTCTCCACTCCAAATCGCCACAATCACTTCCCTAGTAAGGCCTTATTGAACAACACAAAGCTCCTCACTCCAAGATCCCCATCCTCATTGGCAAACAGACAACTCCCCAATTGACCAAATGGAGTCTCCTCTCCTCCCCCAACCCTGCCCACAGAAATTCTCTTTGAAGTCTCTCTAATCTCTTTGCCACTGCAATCGGAATGGGGAACAATGACAAAAAGTAAGTAGGGAGATTGGAGAGAATGGATTTAATGAGAGTAAGTCTGCCTCCCTTAGAAAGGTACATACGCTTCCACCTTGCTAACCTTATCTCCATCCTTTCCACAATACAATTCCAGATATGGGTACTTTTAAATCATGCCCCTAACGGGAGCCCTAGATATGACATCGGCAGCTGCGCAACCTTACAACCCAATATATCACCAGCTCCTCCACGTTATCGACCTCCCCTACGGGAATAGCCTCAGACTTCCCCAAATTGATCTTCAAACCAGACACCGCTTCAAAGTATAGGAGTAGACGGCGCAAATTCCTGAATTGTTCAACATCTGCATCGCATAAGATCAACGTGTCGTCTGCAAATAACAGATGGGACACCTGCAATTGATCAACCATAAAACCCCTTATCAAACCCGCTTCCATAGCTCTTTCAATCATCCTACTGAAAACCTCCATCACAATAACAAATAACAATGGAGACAATGGATCCCCTTGTCTCAAGCCTCTACTACTCCGGAAATAATCCTCAGGTGTTCCGTTGACCAAAACTGGGAATGAAACAGTAGAAATACAGAATTGAATCCATTTACACCACTTATCTCCAAAATCACAACGCCTAAACATATACAACACGAATCCCCAATTTACATGATCGTAAGCCTTCTGAATATCTAGCTTACATAACATCTCTGGGACCCTTAGACGCATCCTTGAATCTATGCATTCATTCGCTATAAGCACAGAGTCCAAAATCTGACACCATTTTACAAATGCATTCTGAAACTTGGACACTACTTTTCCTAGTACCTCCTTTAATCTGTTTGCTAGGACTTTCGCAATAATCTTATACACCCCACTGACAAGGCTAATGAGGCGAAAGTCCTTAATATCAGTCGCTCTCGATTTCTTAGGGATGAGCACGATAAATGTAGCGTTAGAACTTCTCTCAAATCTGCCATGTTCAAAAAAAACAAGATAGAGCATTCATAATATCCGGTCACACCACATCCCAACACGCCTTATAGAATGAGAACAAGAAACCGTCCGATCCCGAAGCCTTATCATCGTTTATGCTGAACACTACCTCTTTAATTTCATCCTCCCCAGATGGTCTCTCCATCCATCTGACATCATCCTCCGTGATAGTAGAAAAGTGCAATCTCTCCAATTCTGACCTCCATTCAAATTGCTCCCGATAGAGGTTCTGATAGAAATTCACCAGTTGGCTTCCAATTTCCTGTGGCTCCTCATGAGTAACCCCGTCCACCTCCAAAACTGTGATGGAATTGTTCCGCCTAGTAGAATTGGCGACCTGGTGGAAGAACTTAGTGCATTTATCCCCCTCATTCAACCAAGTAACCCTAGATTTCTGTCGCCAAACAATCTTCTCCATTTCCACCAACCTCTCCATCTCTTCCTTTAATACTCTGTCTCTCCTCCTCCTCCCCAGCCAACCCTTGTCTCTCCTCTTGCCTATCCAACTCCTCTATCTCTGACAGACACTGATTTTTACTACTGTTAACATTGCCCACAACTTCCTCGTTCCATTTCTTTAAGTCCCCTTTCAACGCCCTTAGCTTCTGATACAATACAAAACAAGGAGACCCACTGACTTCATTGGAAGTCCACCACGTCTGTACTCGCTCCCTGAAACCTTCTACTTTCAACCACATCCTCTCAAACATGAAAGGCCTTCTTCCACCACCCTTCCTATTCCCAAATAACATAATAGGAAAATGATCCGAGTACACCCTCCCTAATCTTCTCTGAGTGATAACTGAACATTTGGACTCCCACTCCCCACAAATCAAGAACCTATCAATACGAGACAAGACGGGTCGGTCCTGATTCGATGACCAGGTAAAATCTCCCTAATCATAGGTAAATCCACCAACAAATTCTCCCTAATAAAATCTGAGAGCTCCTCCATTGCCCTAGTTAGTCTCCTACCACTCAACCTCTCCAAAGGAAATCGAATCACATTGAAATCACCCCCAATACATGTTGGGAGATTCCACCAAGCCCTCATTCCAGCCAATTCATCCCACAAGCCCACTCTACTGTCATCAGAATTACGCCCATAAACTCCTGTGAACATCCACCGAAATCCACCCTCGCAATTTTTGAAAGAAATCAATATAGAGAACACCCCTATACTCACCTCCTCCATCTCAAGCACTCTAGTGTCCCACATCAACAACACGCCTCCTGATGCCCCTGATGATCCCAAAAACTGATACCCTACATGGTTCCCCCCCCCCCCATAATCTACTAATCACCGCCCTCAAGATAAACTCTATCTTAGTTTCTTGTAAGCAGACAAGATTTGCCCCCCATCCCCTTAGCAAATTTCGAACACCAAGCATTTTACCAACCTCATTCAGCCCCCTTATGTTCCAGCTAATGAGTTTTGGCATCATTATAACACTCCATAACCCTTTCCCATTGTTCCTTTCTTGGACTTGCCACCCTTACCAGCATAGGTTATTGACCATTCGAGCCTCTTAAGTTCGCGATCACCCTTTCTTCTTAATTTACCTCCATGTGTTATGATATCTTGTCCCCTATTAGCCTCCAGCTCCTCGAATAATTGTAGCAGTCTACTTTCATATGCATCACATGACACGCCAACCAACTTGAATTCCTGAATTTTTCGTAGAACCCAGTTCGAAGGTGTAATAAATATTAAGCCTAAGTTTGAGCTCCATTTTTCCCAAAAATCATTTTCAACAACACATCCTCTCATAAACTAATTTTGCACGTGAACCCAAAAGTTGTACTTATTTTTTAACCACAAATTCTCCACAAAAAAAAAAATTAAATAAATAAAATAAATTTAAAATAAAATAAAAAAATCACTATTCCAAAACCTATTTTCCCCAAAAAGGGGGCTCAAACATGGCCTAAATAAGATTCCTTAATTTTCACTAGAAAAGCAGAAAGTGAGACCCAATAAAAAGGGAAGTTCTTATGCTCACACCGATAAATTAGTCTAAATCAAAGTGGGAGAAGAGATATGAGAAGAAATTACTGTCCACTACTCTTAAGGGTTTCCCTCCTCACCCCGTAAACAGCTCCATATTATGGAATTGGCTCTGTGACACATAGAGCGCGATAACATATTTCAGAAGCTCACAGAGATCATGTCTTCTAACATTTTCTGTTATTTAATGGATGCGATATTTTTCTTTTGATGGGTTTAAGGCAGGAATTTCGAAGGTTACTTCAAACAATGTAAATCATTTTGATTTTCAAAAGTAAAATTGCAAGCCAACCTTTTTATTTTTTTTTTCCCTTTCTAGACGTGGAAATATGATTGCCCTCACATATTCAGAGATGAAGTTTTACCTGTTGCCAGGCTTCTATAATGAACTTCATTTGTGACTCTGGTTGGGATTGTACTTCACTAAGCTTCTCGAGCTGTAGAAAAAATAATCACTGATGAATACAAGAGAGAAGGTAGCAGAAGAGACATGGGTAAGCACTATAAGCAAACAGACAACCCAACCAAATATAAAAAATTCTCCCCTTGTTCCACTAAAAAAGATTGCAAATGCACATTTATGCTGTTGACAGATTTGAAGAAGTCAAAGAAAATCTGGAATTGAATACTAATTCTTGCATGTCCTGATATTTAGAGATAGTTATATTGCTTTTCAGAATGCAAAACTAAATATATTTATTGTGTAGAGTTTCTTTCCTTTCTCGTAAGCATAATGTCAACTTAGGCTTCTCTATAAATCTAAATTCACGGCTTGTATCCCTACTAAATATAGAAATACAATCCACCTTCCCAGAACTGTTTCATGGTATCAAAGCCAAATTAGATATCTAAATTTTTTTCTCCTAATGCCTTGTTTTGCTGATTACTGAGAACCTTTTTTCTTGTAAGCAACCTTGTTTGCTGCAGTATTTTATTCAGCTGTTTGCCAACCTTTTCTCATCTCTTGTTTACTAGTTCCAGTCAAACAGAAAACTATGTCAACCACTTCAGAATTTATGTAATCTTCCACCAACCTGATTTTATTTCATCTGATTTGATTCCGTCCGACTTGAATAGATTTAATCTATGTGATATAATTTCACCTGACTTGATTTGAGTTAATTTGGATCATTTTGTATATTCTTAGTGTTTAGGCTAGTTGTTTTGTATGATTCTCCTCAATTTGCATAATAACTTCTTTTTAAAAATTAACTCGCTACGAGACATCCAGATATAAAGAGGATTACTAAAACTAGGAGGGCAAATAAGAAGAACACTGAAACTTTAAGAACAGCCCGTTAAGAAAATTGTTCTACAACACAACAGATTTATCTTCTTGGAAATCAAGAATAAATCAAAGTGAAAACTGAAAGTAATATCATTCAAGTGAATCGTCCTCACATCTAAATCATCGTCATGAAGAATACTCCTAGAATAAGATCCTGATTCAACATACAACAGAATAAGAAAGTCTTACATGAACACTTTGCATTTGATGCAAATCCAAAAATGCCTTTTGCCTTGACTGCATTAAATGAAGAAAAAAATTTGTTGGTTGTAATAAAGGAATGGAAAGGATTAACCTTAATGCTAATGGATTATTGCAATGCCTTTTTGCAATTGCTTGATTGTATCTTTATGAACATGCACAGTAATATCCATGTTTCTCAATTTTGATGATTTGCGCAACAGGCACTCAACAAGATGCATACTTATGGAACTCAGACATGGTTTTGAAACTATAGTCTGATGATCGAGTCGATTCCATGATTATAGTTTAATACCATCCTAGATAAAATTTCTGCTAAATATACTCAGGCATGAACTCTAGTGTTTTAGGATTTGAACTGTTTGAATCAACTAGTTTCATTTTCAACTAAAACAATTTCAGAGTTCTTTATAATGATACATAAATCGCATATAAATTAAGGTTAAGAAAAGGTGACAAAATGGAGCATACAGCTTGGTTGGAAGCCCATCGCTCATAGTAATGAGTGTATCTTTCCAAAGAGTTCTTCGCCATCTCTCTCCTCCGCTCAGCTTCATCGTACTGATAGCACAAAGTTGATACGCAGGGGAGCGGGTATGATTTATTGTCCATATTGGAAGGCAAATTGAAATACACGTCACTAAACAAAAACTAATATATCCCTAATCCCATACCACTCCCTCTTGCTTAGCTGCCTCATATCGGTTGCATGCATAGAAACCTCCAGTCCTCTCACCATGGTCTGACCATGCACCTAGACAAAGCCTGCAAAGCGAAAGACCATGTAAAATGACAGAATACACAAGTTCAAATCTTAAACGTGGCAGAATCTACATAAACTAGAAGAGAGATTCTGTAGAAGCAAAGGTTAAAAAAAATGTAAACATTCAGCCAGTTTGATTTTATCAGTACATTAAATAATGCTTACCAGCAAAATTCAAATTTGCAGGGTGGTGTGCAAGTCATGTGCATACAACCTTGGTGCTTTTCAATTGGTCGCTTGCACTTAGGACAAGGCTTGGAGTTTGCCAATATCCTAAAAATAACAAATTTTTAATATCACAGTAACACAATAAGAAAATCACATTAGGGAGCTTCTAAACCATTTAACCAGATAACAAAAGAACTTACGTACTTCGCTTTAGTAGTGCAACAATGCCCCATGATGCATACAGCAGATTAGACAGGCATATGCTTGTACAATGAAATCACTTTCAGTAATTGCATAATGAGCAACACCACATTAACTGTGCTTAGTTATTACATGACAACCTTTGCTAAAACATGACACCTCCCTTTAGCCCATATTTCAACTAGAAACTGACCAGAAACTCATTGATGAAGGCGGCAGGCAACAACAACGATTTTACAGTTCAAAACGTAACTTTAGTAACCTCATTGAGCTTTATTCTGTATTGTTCTCGAGGCAAATGGTAACTACACAAGCTTTGAGGATAATTTGATTAAAAACTCCAAAGGCAATCAACTTCAGCAAACAGTTAGTGAGGCAGCTAGTTCAAGTGAAGAAGTCTATAAGATTCAGTCCTGAGCTTCAGAAATCCTAATTTAGCAAGTAAACTTATGTGTGAAGAGGACATCGACTCATTGTATCTCCAATTTCATCATAAAAATAAAAATAAAAATAAAAATAAATAAACCTCTTTGAGAACAATCATTTGCAAAGCACTCACTGATCCTAATTCCTATAAAATCAAACTTAACGAAAGCGCCATAATAAAAAATGTAGACAAAATAGCTATGGACTATTGATTGAATCATGTAAAAGAACTCATCTGCATTAGCAAATACTCTACCAATTCATGTTTTCTGATTCAGCACTGTTTTTCAAAATCCATTTGGCCACAGTTTCGCAGTCCACAGGACGATGAGCTTCCTCTGTACACTGATGGAGCAGCTCACAGTGATTGGCACACATCACATCACATAAAATAAAAATGATATCTAATAATTCATACTATCATGAAAGACTTACACTCCAACAGAAGCTATAAGAACAACTGCAAGTGACGTCATAGCTTCCACTCCCAACGACATATTCAACAGCACAATCACAACCAGGGGCCGGACACCACTTGGTCTGTAAACATGCATAAAAGAAAGTTTCAGTTGTGCTCCAAAACGCGAGATAATCAGCATGACAATGAGGCAAATACGAAACAGCGGAAGAATCCTATGATCTGGTTGAAGAAATATCACATAGTTATAATCCCATTCACACCATCATCAGATACCACCCCCTCCACCCCACCCCAAAAAAAAAAAGATTGAAACTCTAGCAGGTGCATTGAAAACCTGAATAGAAGGAAGCCATTCTTATGAATAAATAGCTTCTGTCCTAATCTCTAAATTAACACCCAATGCTGTGATGTTTGCAATTTATAAAGAATGCTCGTGTGTATGCTTGTGTGATGTTTGCAATTTATAAAGAATGCTCGTGTGTATGCTTGTGTGATGTTTGCAATTTATAAAGAATGCTCGTGTGTATGCTTGTGTGAAACTTTTGTTCAGTGATAAAAGACTCGAACCAAAACAATACAATTTATACTAATTCTCATCACCAAAACCACATACTACCTTTACATATATTTTCCTAATAAGAAAAATGAGAACAATACAAATTTTCAGAACCAGCAATTCCTTTTAATTACAAGGTCATAAAAAAAATCCCGATGTACACATGCACAGGTGCATGGCACTCATGCAAGTGCACATGTGTGTGAAATGTACAAAGTCAGAAAATAGCACGAAAGTTGCTGAGACAAAGCTCTATCTAATATATATATCAAGGCGAAATTGGGTGATTCATACAGTGACCAGCTGTCAAATTTCAACATTAATTGTGATTCCCCCAAACAAAAAAGAAACACCCATCTTGTTTTGCCTCTTTTCTCTCAATAGCATCCTATTTCTCAAAACTCTACTACTACGATTTTGTGTAACGCAGTTTACTTCTCCTAGAATATTGCAGCAATCACAAGCTAGAACAAAGATAGATTAAAAAAAAAATGCAGCGCTTGAAGTCTTAAAATATACCTGCTATGAATAAAAATGTTATGGTTCCACAAAAGGATATATTATCTACCTTTCGACTGTCTTCAACATAAGATCTAAGAAGGTATCGGCGGTACTTCTCCTTATCACCATCGGGTGCCAATATATTAATCATATCTTGACCAACGGCAGCACCACAAGATGGATCAGGACACCTCAGTGTCAAACATCCAGGGCCATCATTAATGGATGTGCTAATGTAAGCTGCCAGAACAAAGAGAGAATAAATCAAGCAAATTTGATTTTTCAGATTGCAGCAAGGCTGGAAATGTAAATGTTAACTGTTGGCTACCAAAAATATTTCTAACATAAGCTCTTTGCCTTGTAGAAAGTTTCTCCAACATTTTAACAGCCACCATCCCCAACCCAGACAAAAGAAAGAAAGGAAAGACAATACTCAAGTCCACCATTTAACACCCCAAATGCACCAAAACAAGCTATCTAAACAGCAGTTTAAATAATACTTACAAAGAATTTGATTGTATCAGGAACTTAAATTCTCATAACCCACTAACGTCTGCCATCAATACTGTTATACATTGACCAACTGATATAGGCCATAATCAAATGCAAAATACCAACTAACTTCAACTAAAAATTAATCAGCCAATGCTAGTCAAAGTGTCACATAGACTTACAAACCTTTCCAGCATGCATCACAGAAAGGATGACCACATGCAGCAGTACATATCCGGTCAAGGGAATAGTTCTCAAAGCAGATCCCACAAGTTACCTGCCAGGGAAGATTTTGAACGAGTTTATAACACATTAAACCAAGTTTAGAAGAGACCGAGAAGTTTGAAGGATAATCGATAATTTACTTCTTTAGCATTTGAAAATTTAACCAGTGGCTTCTCCAACAAGCCAACTGCGTTGCGAACTCTTTCTTCATCAGCAAACCATTCTTCATGCACATCATTCACGCTCCTATATACTCAAATATTCAAAAATAAGAGAGGGAAAAGTATCAACAATGAAAGGTATCATAAAATAAGCCTGATGGCAATTACAGTCAACTAATGCATACAAAAATTACCCCAAACAAATTCACATGTTAAGTTTGAACTTTAACAAGTTATAGGCTCATAATGCATACACAAATTTTTCCAAACAAAATTGTCAAACTGACACAACCAGATAAAAATTAATGTGAGAATTAACAGATAGATTTCCATTCTTTTGCAAAATCAAGGGTTAAAGAGATTACCACTTATAGCGGCGAAGAAGTATACAAGCTGCATCTCTTGAAATCGAAAGAACAGTAGAAATTCTAGTAATATCTTCCTCCTGACGTTGTCGTATATCTTCATCCGTCAAGATGGTGTAATTTTTCTGGAACATAAGTTTAACACATAAATCTGATGAAAACAAATAAAGAAAGGTGGAATAAACAAATTCACTTGCTCATAGACATACATTAACACTCCCATTATACCTCCTACCTCAAAAATTCAAACATAGTTTTTCTCACCAAGAATGATATAATGATAAGATCACGAGGACTAACAAATGGGGAAAAAAATTAATTCTATCAAATAAAAGTTCCGAGACACATCACAAAAACGATTAAGATTCCACCACCATTACTATTGACCATAGAAATCATCAAGGATTGAATTTAAAAGCGATGAATGAAATAATGAAAAAGGATACCAGAAATCCATTATATTCATCAACCCTACCCATCAATTTTTTTTAGTTTTTTGTATTTTTTATTCATAAACCTTTCTGAATTCCAAGAACATTACTTTGCCATTAAAACCTCGACAAACTCTTCATAATTGATTTATCCATCACACTCAGCATCAGCCACCCTAGAAATCTCATCTACTTCCTCATCGATCACCTTCTCGCCAAAATTGGCTATCACATAGCAGAGTCAGCAGCAGAGGTGAAATCTTTCTGATCCATGTCAAAATAACGGAATTTCTCTTAAGCTCCTCCTCAAAATCAGTCTGGCATGGTTATAATATGAGGCAGCGCAACAGCAGACATGAAACCATCTGATCCTTGTCAAAATGCAGGATGCCTCTTTAACCTCTTTAGAATCAGTATCCTTTGTCATCCTGGCAATAAGGCTAAAAAACTTTAAGAAGTCGATGGTTGCATTACCGTCAATATCAAACCATTAACCTCATTAATCATTTCGTTGAGCTCAGATTCGGTCAGAAAGGATTCCATCACAATGCCAAGCTCAGTGATTGTAATACAGTCATTGCCATCTTTGTTAACAAGGCTGGAGGCCTCCTTGAAGTCAGAGATCTGGCTAATCTGGACATTTCTTCTCCTAAACATCTTTTGTTCTTTCAAGCATCAATTGATTCATTTTTTTAATTTTTATTTTTATTTTTTTTAGGAAGAAGAAGAAGAAGAAGAAGTGAGAGAGAGAGAGTTCTAAAAATGAGATAAAATATTCAAGAATAATTTCCTTTTCGTTGTTCTTAGTTCTAAATTGTATACAAAATATTAAATAAAAGCTCTCCTCCACTCCATTTCATCCCACCAAATATGCAATAAAGCATCTCTAATAGGATGGAGGTTGCATTTGTTAGCATAAAATTTGAAGCTTCAAGTTGATTTAATCGAAGCAATCCAATATTGAAATTTATTTTTCTAACTTTGAAAAGAAATGATGTAGGACAATCATATTGTAAATAAGAAAAAAGTAAGATAATTATAATAAGATGTCTAGTTTTAATAGGTTTATCATTTCATTCTTATTTCTTGCTTAAAATAGGATTTCTAATTTCTTTTAGATTATGATTTATTTTAGTTTCCTTATATTAGTTTCCTATTAATAGTAGAAGGAGGGAATAATTTTGCCTATTTATATAGATGTATTGTACACTTTTCAACATCAACTGTTATTAAATATATACACGACATGATTGTTCAAATATCGTTTTTATTTATAACATAATCTTTATGACAATAACTATATAACGCTTCCACACCAAAATTGGTACCAAAGCAAGGAAATTACCTTAATCTGATAACCGACAAAGGTACTGGTGGCAGTCAAACCGTCAACGGCGAACGGAGGCTCAACAAACTCAAACAACGAATCGAGGGGATCAACGAAACCCTTCATAACATCACGCAGATGCAATCTGCGTTGAGTCTTGAAAGGAATCGCAAGTTCATGGACAAGTAAACTGCCAAGAATTTGCATGCTTTAACTGCTATGAATGTTAGTTGTTTCAACAAGCATAGAACACGACAACATGAGACTAGAGAATTTCCTCGAGTCCCAACCAAGTTCGAAAACATACAAGTTATCAAGGATTCTTTTCTTCAACAAAACTCGATGACGATTTTCTTTCAAAAGGGAGAGAATGATGTAGGACAATCCTATTGTAAATATGATAAAAGTTAGATAATTATAATAAGATGTCTAGCTGTAATAGGTTTATCTTTTTAAACTTATTCATTGTTTAGAATAGGATTTCTAATTTCTCTTAGATTAAGATTTATTTTAGTTTACTTATATTAGTAGTAGAAATAGGGAATAATTTTGCCTATTTACATAGAGGCATTGTACACTTTTCAGCAACAATCTATTATTATTGAATATATATATATATATATGATTGTTCAAATATCGTTTAAATGACTGTTTGTTAAGCAGCATTGGCTCCATTAATGCCAAAAAATGTCAGAATCATATACGAGAGGACCAGAGATTGAATTTTTGTCTCTTAATCCTCGATTCTAACCCAAATTCTGTTCTGATCAGAATCATTGAGAGAATAGTTGCTGCTACTTAAATGAATCTCCTCCATAGCTAATACCTATGGAAAATCAGCCGTTGCATATACATGTTAGCCTTTGTTAACACAATTCAGCTTGCTTATTGTACATTCCTTAAAAAATGAGATATATTACCATCAACGGCCTTCTGCAAGAAATCCAGGCTTAACATTCTATAATTGATCAGAACAAAAATTCACATCAATTTGACTGGCTACATACTGAAGTGGACACACTTTAATGTAATATGAAAACCAAAACAGGTATTTTTCTTCAGAATAAAAAGCCATAAAGCTTTTGGCTTTCTAGTGAAATTCACAGTTGGACATAAGTTAAATGGTTAAACCGTATAAGCTGTAAAATTATAACGCAAGAACACTAAATGATAGCTCATCCCACAAAAGCAACCTAAATTTCACACACGATGACACCGTTCCACATTAACAAGGTCCGTCGTGAACAGGTGCAGTAGCCCGACGAAAATTGAAGAATTTGAACTGCAGCTAGCTAAGAATGCCAAAATAAAACAGAAGGGGCGAAAATTTGGAATTCACCCACCTGTAAGCGACTAACAGGAACGTCATCAGACTCATTAGCCATAAATTCGAAATCTTCAATGTCCTCCTGGCCCTCGTCTTGAGCTTGATCATAGCTGTAGTCGTTGTCATCTACTTCCTCTTCACCGCCACTATAGTAATCATCTTCCTCCTCCGCTGACGCCAAGTCATTAGCATCGTGCATATCATCATCCGATTCCATAGACAAGAAAAATTAAATAAAAATTAAACCCTAGAACAGGTCGAGAATCTTGGTTAAAACTATCGACTCCTCGATTATAATTGATCGAAGCCGATGAATCGATTCAGTCAGGACCGACGCATCATGTATTGATTCGATCAATCGATTGACCAATTACCTGTTGTTTAGGCTTTTTTTGTAGGTGTTGTAACAGGATTTAAAGCTCACTGAAGGTTTAAATGAGAGAGAAAGGGGAGGTGGGATGGGGATTTAATGGGGTAGTGGGTATCATGCTGTTAACAGGGTAACATGGGAAGAAAAGCTAAAAGGTCACCCTAGGCGAAGAATTCCCAAGTTTTACTTTAGTCATTGAATAGGGAGCGGTAGAGTCAAGGCCCGAGTCCGAAGGGAGCAAAATTTAACGGAAAGTCATGCGCATATATGTATGGTTGACGCTGTTTGTTTTTCAACCTTTTCCCTCATCCATTTAATAGTATTAAATTCTATGAAAAATATCACATTCAAAAAACTCGTTTTTTACTTTAATTGTTTGATACGAAAGTAAAAATAGAGTTCGAATTTCAAAATATAAACATTAAAGCATATTTTTTGCTAATTGAGTGGAAATCGAATTTCTATAGTTTTGGTGATTTTTTCCTTTTCAACTTATATGGAATTGATTTGTCTTTTTCACCTTCGCAATCAAATAGACCTTAAATTCATATTTGATAGAAATTAAAATTTGATTTTTATCAAAGTCAAAAGTTAACAATTAACTTTAACCATACATTTCATGAAACTCACAACTTTTTAATCATCTATTTCATTAACTTTTATCAAAATATGTTAATATTCAATTTTAATCTCCGTCGAGCATGGCTAAATATCTATGGTGCTTTCTAGGTGATGACAACTCCAACAAAGAATGTATTCACATTCTCGCGAGCAAGGATTAGGTGACTTAACCACCTCGATCTCTATTTGATATTAATTTCGCTTAAATATACTTTTCCATCGTGAAGTTTTAGATAAAGTATTCAAGGACCATTCAAATATCATTAAATTGGTACTGGTTCTCGATTGGAGTTTCATTAGTTTTGCCCTCGTTAATATTAAAACCGTTCCAACTTAGAAGGATGTCATGCTAAAACTTCATTTAGAAACGGTAGGGTAGAAAGCAACTACAACGTACAACTTGAAGGATATATCCTTTTTGAATGTTATCTACTATATTATATTTATATATAGCAATGAAGTGCTCTTTGCTCAACTTTCAAGTTTGACAAAGTCTAATTTTCAATTTAAGCTAATCAAACATATGTTTTTATCCACACATTTCGTACAATTCGCAATATGCTACAACTTATTATCCACGCATTCTGTGGAACCCATAACCCTAAGCATTTAAAAGCATTAGCAAACATACTCTAATTGATGGATTTTCAGGTCGTCTGATTAGAGAGAACTCAAAATAATACAAGTCATTGTACTTCGTGTTTCTATAATAATCCTCTCTATAGGTATGAAGAGGGTGCACTCACTGCTCATTTCCTGCTTCAAGGAGTGCTTCTCTGCCATATCCACCGCCCCAAGCTCTCTCTTTCCAGACCCTCTCCACTTCCTCAAATGTCAAACCCTTAGTTTCCGGCACAAAAACAATCACGAACACAAACGCAGCAACAGCAATGACAGCAAGTATCAAGAAAGTCCAACCAGTGCCAACAGCATCAGCTAGCGAGAGAAAACTTTGAGCTACAATAAGATTTGATATCCAGTTCACGGTAGCAGACATACCTCCACACATTCCTCGATATGCCTCGGGATAGATTTCTGAGTTCACGGTCCATGGAACGGGCCCCATTCCGGGTGCAAAGAAAGATATATAAAGAGCCAAACCCACGACTGCCATCCAACCATAGAGCCCAATCACAGAAGAAGTAGATGGTTCCAAGATAAACGCCACAGCAAGAATGATGAGAGAAATTATTACACCCGACAAGCTGCTAAGTGCCAATTTCCGTCGACCAAAGTGATCGATGAGATATATTCCCAGAACTGTACCAACAGCATTCACGGCTGCGACAATGAGGGAGAGGAGAATCGCGAGTTGATTGGACCTGAAGCCAGCCATCTGCACTATCGTTGGACTGTAGTACATAACAGTGTTGATACCTGTGAACTGCTGGAATGCCTGCAAATAAAAAGTTGGACGTTGTATTGTAATCAATGTAATGAAGTTGCCACATATATCATGATCCGATGTAATCAAGTCTTCAATGAAAGGGAGATTCAGTAATTCGAACATGCAGAAATAGAAAGGTCTATGTGGTGGCCACATTCAAACCATAACACAATTTAAACAGATGATCAAATGAAAATAGTTTGGGTCAATTTAGCAAGACTTTTGCTCCAATTTTGTGTAGAAGAGCTTTCTGAGTAAATGAACTTGGGCCAATTTCTTTCATAAGCTCTTATAATCCGTCAAAGCACTTCCAAAAAAAAAAATCCAAACAAGGCCCAAAAGAATCTCTTAGCATATATTTCAATCAGTGTTCTAGGTGTTCACCTTGGTCAAGAAACACTTTTAATCAAACAACTTTTTATTTACATATTTCATAAAACCCACAAGTAGTACCCACTTTTCCATTCACCCTTGTTTATAAACATTCTCCTACTTTTAAACATATTGCCAAACATACCCTTAGTCTCATAAGAAACTTTTTGACTTTTCGAAAACCCTGCCAAACATATACACTTAAAGGTAAGATAAAAGATGGGAAAGCTTTCCCTTTTCTTCTATTTCGAACCCAACTTTAACATGAGTACAGGAAATGTGAAAGCTTTCCCTTTTCTTCTATTTCGAACCCAACTTTAACATGAGTACAGGAAATGTGAAAGCACAGTGGTAGGGCTCATAGAAAATTTTGAAACTACCTGAAGTCCAGCTCCAGCAAAAAATGCAAGTCTTATTTCTTTTACTTTAAAAACATCAGAGTATCGGACCACACTCTTTCTCTGCCGCTCTTCCTCAAGTGTAGTAGCAAGCTGATTGATTTCCTCTTCCAAGCGATAAGGATCATAAATCTTTGAGAGCACAACAATGGCTTTAGATTTATCCTTCTGCAAGAATTATTTCCAAATCAATAAGATGGAAGATCAAATATCTGATAACATGTTTCAAAACACAAATACCCAAAACCAGCAAAGCGCTTCTGCACCTTCAGGTAAAGCCAACGAGGAGATTCGGGCAAAAATAGCATTAAAAAAAACTGAAGAATTGCTGGCACTGCAGATACTCCAAGCATCCATCGCCATGTACCGGGAACCTGCTCACCCATTTAAATAACGAAAAAATCACAAATAGAATAAGAGATATATATACACAACGCGTTCATGCCTCCCCAGTTGATGCAAAATAGCATATAGAAACAAATCATTTACCGACTAAAACTAATTCACCAAGTCCCCTCCCTTTAATTGTTTACTTGTCTTTCTGTATAAACTATTCCCAAACATTGAACTAAAACTGTTAAAAGTACTGCTAGGTAAGCAAGATAGCAATGGACAATTAATTATAATTAGTAAAAGAAAGAAAATTACCAACTTTAGAAGCTTCATATTTACATACACTTAGATTCCTGGGTCCATCAGAGACAGAAATGGAGCAAACTCGTGGAATGGGATGATATGTGGGTGTAAACAATTTGTTTGTAACATAAAATGGACACCTTTCAAGTCAAAGAAAATTTGTGTATTTATTGGGAGGTAAGCTTAAATTTGACCAAAATAATGAGATATCGTCAAATTTTCTGAGGAGCGAGCACCCTACACATTTAAATACATACCTCAGACAATACCAAAAGCTGGAACCTACAGAAACTATAAATTTCATATCAGGAACTGTTAGGACATTTTAAAAATTCATTACAACTAATCACATAATCTAATAATCGTCACTATGTGGACAAACCTTTAGCCTTTTACACAATAGTAATTATATGTATTGAATATTTACACTCCATGCAGAAGAGAATAGCGATGCCAAGATATCAAAAGTATTAATTATTATAAGAATCAGGGACATTAATGAGCCAATGAGCAGTTTCCAATAACCTCTGTATATTTCTATCATGTTGTAATAAAACCATAACTGGCAGTTATTACCAAACAAAATATGAATAATAAAGCATGAGATGAAAAGGAGGAACACAACAGTATATCATAGTTGGGCTGCCTCTTCGTTGACCACTTTTTCAACTTTTAAGCTGCCTAATGTAAGCTAAAGTGTTCTGAAAAATATGTTTATTTATATCATAACTCAATCCTAAGACCTAATCGATAACATCACACAATTATTGGAGGAAAGAAAACATTGAAAGCTTAACCTAACATGTTCTCATGCATATGTTCAAATTTATTGTAAACCAGTCCTGTGACCTAATGGATAACGTTTCGACATAGACATTGGAGAAAAGGAAACATGAATGAAACGATACGCTCTACCAATTAACTGACATTGACAATTGGCCAAATATTGCAGGGGCAGAAGAAAGCAGCCTAGTGACAAATATATGAGTACAAATAAAAGTTACATTCAGCAAGAATTAGTAAAGAAGAAATGTAATGGTTCATCATAACACAAACAAGATTTGAGCACATTAAGCAGCAACAAGCTGAAATCCACCGAAACAAACTACAAATAATAGTGGCAAGAAAAGAACAGAACAGTTTCCTTTGGTGATGTGTTACTCATTGAGAAAACTTATAACGCAATCCCAATATTCTATCTTCATGCTGCCTCGCCAGAACTGCACAATTGAAAACCTTTCATGCCAAGGAAGCATTGTAATAAGCATGAGCAAATAAAACTTATTAGGTACATAGAATCAATAGATGCAAATATATCTTTCGTGTGTGAAGTAAATTGATTTTGATGCCTCCAATCATTCTCGGAACTGTCTGAAGATAGGCTAGAAAGAAGGGCTTACAGGACAAACAAGAAAAGTATTACTTTCAAAACATGATTGTTATTTGAATAAAAACTTCAAATTGAAACTCTAATGTCCATTGATGCATAGTCAGTCACTTATGGTTGCATTTAGTTAAATAAACCTACAATGAAGAATGCGCATACTAGGGCTGGACAAAACTCCCGAACCAAACCGACCAAACCGAACAGAACCGAACCCGACGGTTCTTCTCAAGTTAAATACCCGAACGGGTATTTGAATCAAGAACCGACGGGTATGGTTCGGTTCTCAGTTCTAGGCCAAGACCCGAAAAACCGAATAAGAACCGAATCTCCATAATTTTTTAAATTAATTAATTTTAAATAAGTAAAATTATTTTATTTTTTCTAAATAAATTTATTAACTAGTTAATTTAGTTCAAACCACAAAATATGATTTTCCTATTTCTAATATTCAATTCAAAATCGACTTAATCAAATAGACCTCAATTTTATCCAAATCCGTTATTCTACTGTAGTGTCCTTTCTGCCGGAGAAAATCGAATTAAAACTCTACAACATCTCTCTTAATTATTTTGAGCTCGCTATCTTTCTTTTTCTGTAATTTTAATAATCAAATTTATGAAAAATTCAGCAAAGAGAGACGTGAAACACATAAAATTGAACTACGTTATTTTGTAAGAGCTAATATTAAATATATCATTAATTAAATTAATGTGACTTTGTATATATTAAAAAATTTAATTATAATACGGAACCGAATGGAACCGAATCGGACCGAACCGAACCGAATGGAACCGAACCCGAATGGTTCTGTAATTAAATTTGGACCCGACGGTTCCACTTACTAAATACTCGAAAATTTCGGGTCGGTTCGGTTCTCGTTAGAACCGAACCGGACCATATCCAGCCCTAGCGCATACTATCTCAAAAATTACCAGCTTCTCAACCAAAAATTAAAGAACTATCTAGTGTACATTTTTTATTATTTTAGGCAAGTTTGTAAGAAAAGCTTAATCTATTAATAATATCATTATGGATGAACTATATAAATAGTTTCAAATTCTTAAGTTAATAGACAAAAAACACTTGCACCAAGACAAGAAAAACAGTGGAAGTCTGTACATTGTTCTGTCCAATTCATCAATCTATCATTTGGTGTAATTTGAGAATTTTAAATTAATTCAAAACTCCATAACTAAGACTACAAGAAGGTGAAAACTTTTATTGTTCATGCTCAACTGGACTGCACATCTAATTTGCATTCTCTGTAAATTTAGTGTTCTTCCAGAACCATTATCCATAAAAATTAGGTTTCGGAAACAGATTTATCTCATTTGACACGAGGAAAGTTACCTCATTGCAAGACATAACAAATGTGAATCAATGAAAAACCAACAAAATGAAGAATTGGAGTAAAAACCTAGATCATATTAAAGAATGAGTAAGAGTAAGAAAAATCTGACCTCTGTAAATGCAAGATTCACAAGGTATGAAAGAAATTGTCCACCGGTGATCATTAGCACATTTGTGCTGACAAGGCCTCCCCTAATTTCTGTAGGGGAAGCCTCAGCAATATACACAGGAGCAGTAACAGATGCAACCCCCACCCCCAAGCCAACCAAGAAACGTCCAAAAATAAGAACATAAGGATTCTGAGCTGCAGCCATGACTACAGATCCAAGAGCGAAAACAACATCAGCTGACAGAGTAGCCTTCTTACGTCCATAAGAATCATTTACCCAGCCTCCTATGGCAGCTCCAATCATTGCACCGACCAAAGCCATACTGACAATTGTTTCCTGTCAAATCGTTGGAACAGAAACTTTAATACATAAAGAGCACGAAAGATTGAGAAAGTAGATAATAAAAAATCCAGTCAGTTTGGGAATGGGGCTGAGAGAGACAAACACATTCACACACACTGAGAAAGAAAGAAAAGAACGAACAATTTCCGCTCTTCAATTACACCACCTCCGAGAGTAAAAATTTTCATTCTTAAGATTAGTAGTAAAAAATTATTAATTATGTTCCCTTCTGCTGTATTTCAAATCAATCACCTTCCCAGAAAATTTCTCTTAAAACAACAAAAGCCACTGGTACGCAATTTCTTCGCTATCAACTAAACAACATCCCACGGAAAGCACAAAATCATCACAGCTGGCTCCCACGACTTTAATTGCACAGCACCTTTTTGGTTTCTTCTCATGCTTAATCAAAACTACAAAGGAACTACATTTCCATTTCCACCATATTTTGTAGGGGCACTCTCCATGAGTAAAATATGGAATTTTTGCATATCACTTTATAACGATAACAATTAGCCTTACATACCTGAAGAAAGTGACTTTGATTGACTTCTTCAAATTCATCACGAATATACAGGAGGGCTCCCGATATAACTCCTGCAACCAACTAGTGATTATTATGATCCATCTAGGCTCTAGCTACTTTTATTGAATTTCTTTTTCGTGCATATGTATTGTCGTCGGGGAGGGAGACAGCTAAGTACATTAACATATCAAAAAAAGAAAAAGAAAACCCAACACTGTAAAACTGGAAAAGATGAAGTGAAAAAGATGAAGTCTAGACTCTAGATTATATCTCTAAATTATTTTTTCTTATGTTTGTGAATAGAAAATATTTCGAAGTTCCAAAAAAATCTCATGCATTAGAGCTTCAACCCACAAGTTTGAGGAGACAAATCACTATGCCTCTCCAACAAAATTAAATGTCAACGGTTACAAACATTTCAAAATTCCAAGCTCGTGAATTAAATATTTACAATCAATTTACTAGAGCAGACAAAATGAAAAAGAAGATTTAAAAAAAAAAAAAAAAAAAATTACCAGTGTCGTAGCCAAAAAGAAGACCACCAATACCCGCAACAACAGTCAACCCCAAAACATAACCGTTGCTGAAATAGGTTATCTTTCTATTTCCTACTTCTATGTACCCTGAACTTCCTGGCATCGACTCGATCGTCATCCTCTCTTGCAGTTTCAGTTCAAATTTCCTCGTAAATTATCGGCAATTTTTTAGACTACTGCCTAATGATTTACAGATTCAACGACAAGAAAAATGGGTAAATTACTGAATCGCTGGGGACTTTTTGCTTAGGGTTTCCGATTCGAGGGTTTAAACTATAACAAAAAATCAAGATTGCAAAAACAAGTAAAGGGTCTATAATATATAGAAGTTTTTCCTAACGGCAACACTCCACAAGACAGAGCAGCACAAAGATATACCAAAGAAGAGTAAATGAGATTCTGCTAATGAAGGCTATAAATTCATAGCTAAAATTGGAAAACACAAGATTTTGGGAGATTATGATATTAAAAAATTGCAAATAGTTTTAAAAAAGTGAGAATTTTCTGTTCTAATTGAATTTTCCAGCAAATATTTGTATTTTTGGACTGCTACTTTATAGAATAGAGGTTCATGCTAGAGCAAATGGGCGCTGATGTGACGCGTGGATAATCCAATTAAATTAAACTGATAAGCCGGAATTAATCTGAGTACTGACTTGTCAATTTTATAAGTCTCTAGTGGAAGCTTTTGAGAATGATTAAAAATAGGGATAAAGCTACTTTTATAAGCCCCTGCCCCATTTTCTCCCATTCGTTTTTCATTATTTTTTTTTTTAAATTACTCATTTTAAATCACACATTTTTCACTACAATTATATTATACGTAAATCAAAAAAAATTTCTTCTTTTTTAATCATATATTTTTCATCAATTTACTATTCTATAATACGTTACAAGAAATTAATGGGACTCAAACGGGGCCTGAGAAAGATTTGATATAAAACTCGACATAATTAAATGTAACAGTAGATAATTGAATGATAAAGTTGAGTGTATTTTGAAGTGTCAAATAATAACATGCCATTTAGCATTATATTAACTTTATGTCAACCTTGATATTCATGTTGCATGATTGTAAAAATAAATTTGTGCATGAACCCATCGTTCCCATCGTTGATCATTGAAGGCTCTTTGGGGTTGTTGAACGTAAATTTTGCATGAACACGATAACAAAGAGAATTTGATATTATTCTAATGGTGAGATTTGGTACAAATTTTTATTTTTTTTTAAGAGTTTATGCATATGATTAAATTGAGATCAAACTGGTATATAAAAAATCGATTCTAATTCACTACTCGACTAGAAGGTTCTTTCATTATTTACCAACTTCTATATTTTTCATACAATTAGATTGATTTTTTTAGTTGTAACGAAAAGTTCAATTTAGTTCTTACAATACTTGATATTCTGGCAATGAGAAGAATCCTTGATTAATTTACCATTTTCTATATATTTTAGATTCTTTTCCATATAAATTAGATCGATTTGAGATTTTTTAAAATTCTATAAATGCCATTCACCTAAAAAGTTTTTTTATATACAATGGAGTCTGATTCTTATAATACCCGTTTGAATAATGCTATTTGCAACTACTCATCCTATGTAACATGCATGTAACGGTTAATGATTTGATATATGTGACAATAAACAACTACAACATTAATTTATCAAATCACAAATCGCGTATATAGAATGCCACATAGGACGATTACTGCAGTAAGCGACTATGAATAGCATTACTCTATTTGTTTTTCTGCTGACCAGAAGGTTTTATTAATCTTCATATTTTAAAATCTTTTATATATTTTTCTTAGTTAAAACGGGGAGTTCGTTTTATTTGTTGAATAGAAATTTTATAGTCTTGTTTATTTATGTTTAACGTGTTGCACACCAATACATTTAAAACAATTCAGTCGGCGCTGAAATAAATGAATGAACATTACCTGGTGGTGCGTCACAGTCACCTATAATGCGTGCGGACAATTTCGAAATTCGTGCCCAATTATCTTGTGATTCTATCTAAATTTACATTATTTTAATTTGATTTTTAAATTTATAATTTTTAAATTGCTTATGAGAAGATCGACTAGTCTTACCTGACAATGAAAAATAGAATATTTCTACAAGTAGAGAGGCATTGACTCTCTAATATAAAAATATCTTATATTTAAAAAAACCTATTAAAGTTATTATAACAAGTTTTCCATTTTTTGGAAAAACAAACCTTCATGCATAAAATTTACATGTCAAAGCAGAAAAATAAAATCAAAAAACAAATCCATAACCATCAAATATAATAATTTCCATGAAATGAGAAAAAAAAATTATTTGACTAAAAAAATCTACTGTTTAAGGGAAATTGGTACAAATAACTAATATATACAACTCCTATAAGTAATCGTTAAATCGTCACGCATAACATAAAAACCTATCATTAAAAAATGTTACTAATGTGACATTAAGTAAATGTTGGAATATAAGTATAATAATAAATAAAAGTTGGATAAAAAATGTTATTGTTAGAGATAAAATATGTTAATCAATTGAAAATTAAAATAAAATATGGGCAAAAAAGTTTACAACAAGCAAATGAAGTGAATTTTTACTACAACTAAAATATAGTACTACATATGAAAAGTAAAAACTGTGGGGGTGTTTGTGCCTCATTATTTGTGAATAATGTATTTTAGAATAGTGATTGATGTTGAAATGTTTAGTTAAAAAAGAAGAAATATTTTTAATTTATGTGTAATATTATTTTAATAAATAACGTGTGGTTGAAAATGAGTACTATAAAAAAATAATATAATAAAATGGTAAACGAAAGTGGTAGGTTACGGAGTTTTGTGCAGTGATTTGAAGATTAGGAACCATTTGCATAGGGGCTTATAGGTTAAGGACTATTTGTGCAAATTTCCCACTGGTTAACACAAAAAACAATATTACTAATAATAAGTAATAACAATTAATTAAATTTTTATATAAAATATTAAGACCCTGTTTGGTATGGATGAAAATCAAATTTATAATAAATTTTGATAAAAGTAGGTGAAATTTTAGTTGAAAATTTGATAAAAGTTGTTAATCCTAAGAAATGTGGTTGAGTTTAAGAAAAATTAATTTTAAAAAATGTGGGCCAAACATAGAATAAGACTTGTGAATTGGGATATGTCGTGGCTAAGAACAAATGCAAATGGATATGGTATCGCGTGGATAATTTGATTAAAATTAAATAATATATTAAAATAATTAAATTTGAGAACCTCTTATTTTATTATTTTAAAAATCGACTCATAAGTGAAGATATGTTGGAGTGAAAGCCCTCCGAGATTAATGAACATAAATCTATGTAATAGTTCGGTCGTCATCAACGTGGCTTTATATTCATTCCGGACTAAGGTTGCAATCATCCGCCATATGTTGGTAGTGTCAACTTTAGGAGCGTTACAGAGCTTGTACTGTCTCTATTTATGAATGATTTATAAAGAGAAATAATTATATATCCTATAAAATGTGCAAATAATAATTAACAATAGTTTCGTGTGACTGAAATTAATGTTTGACTTTAATTTTACGAGTAAACCATCAATAAAATTTGTATACAAATTGAGACAAATATGTCGATCTGAATTCGCACGTGAAATTATGATATCGGAGACTATATGATTTGGACAACGTGATTGGTCCTTCATCTCTAAAAACCTAAAATCCCACCAAACAATATGGATAAGGTCAACATATTCATATTTAAAGAAATCTCCTAGTCATTTCGTATACGTCTTTATCATTGTCTTTAAATAAACAAATGAATAAAAAATTTCTGACTCTTACTTTTTAAATTTGGCTTTAATCAATTTGTTTTGTTTGAGAAAATTTTCTATGATGGCCTCAAAATTTAGACTTCGTTGAGAAAATTCAATTTTTTTAAACATAAAAGATATATGCCGATCTTTGATATTGCATATATAAATAATATTATTCAAATATAATTTTTTAAAAAGAAATCGAAAACTTCTCTTGATTTTTCATTCGATGCGAGAATCAGTATATTATACAGAGAGAAAATTCAAGAAACAAAAGCAAAGAACATTGATAATGAATCAAGAGAAATATATCTTCTCTTTTGACAAAATCGTTGATTTTCTATGTCCAGATGATTCAACATTCTTTAAACATTTCTGCAATCGTCCATCAAACGACACTTTATATTATTACATCAAACATAGTAGTGGCCATTTTCTTATAATTTCGAAGAAAGTGTTGAGAACTTTAAAACAAGTTGTGTATAAAACAAACTTGCAATAATTGAGCATTTTCATGAAAAAAGGAAAGAGAAGGAAAAATTCAAAACGAATTACATTTTTCTTATGAAATCCCCAATTCCATCGGTGTTCCACCATGTTGCTCTATTTTGCACTATTACATAGTAAGTTCACAGGTATAAAAGACCTAAATCAATTTAGACAACGTATATAAATATAATAGTTATAAAAAATACTTCACCCGTCCAATAAAGATAAGCTTATTTCTATTTTCACACAAATTAAGAAATTGTAATTAACGTAGTTGAAAATATAAATTTTATTTATATTTCTCCTAATGCACTCCTACATTAAATAATGATTTCAATAGAAATATTCCATATTTGTTGATAACGAGACACATTAAATTAAGGAATATTAGAAAACTAGAAAATCTACCATACCCTCAACTAGAAAAGTGACATATAATTTGGAACAAATAAAAAAGGAAAGCAAGTTCATTTTTAGGGGATGAGGAGTACTATGGTATAAAATGATTCCTCTTACTAATATATTGGATATTGACAAACATCATTGTTGGCTTCTCAAAATTTTTTCCCTTTTCTAAGTTATCAGAGTTCGATGGTACTAAATTCACTTTAACTTGACTCACTCGTGACTTTATTTTGCTGGCTATCGGTATCATTATATCAACTATAGTAAAAAGTAGTTGTTTCTTGATGTGTACATCGATTTTTAGGACAAATTTATACATCTGGCAAAAGGGTGTAAACTAGACTAGACGGACTTAAAGTAGTTCGACAATGTCTTGATTTGCTGGCTGGACGGCTAGTAGCACGATTAATATCATTGTCACAAATGTTCCTATGAAGAATATTAGTAAAATAATGATATCTACACAAAATATTACAATTAAATAATTATTAAATATAATAATAAAAAAGATAGTAAAAATTTGGTGGCTAGTCGCTCTCAGTCCTAGTACATAAAAATGAAAAATAAACAAATGTCCAACTTTAATTTATTACGTAACATGGTGTTGAAATCAAGTGTTAAAAACACGGCAGAGGCGCGATAAAAAGGTGATCGGTGTTTCTTTAATCTTACAAACTAAGATCCTATTTGATCCGAATAAAAACCAAATTTTTAGCGGTTTTTTTCCCAAAATATGAACAGTAAATTGTATTAAATAATATGTGGCTTTTTCAATATTAAAAAAAAAAAAAAATAACGCTATGTGTACATTGTGGGGTTGACATCATTGTGCACATCCCATTAGAGTTCAAAAAGTTGAGGGCGAGAAAGTGTGGTTTAGAAGAAAAAAAATTGTTTAATGATGTGTTGTCACATGGCATAATGTAAATAAAAATGTAAAAGATGATGTATATGTAATATGATTGATTAATGAAATGAAGCAGATGTTGCTAGTATGTGCATCCTTTGCCTTCCAACTTTACCCTTGAACTGTCACAGACATGTACAATCTACCCTTTCTCTATATAAATGACATTGATCCTTGAAACAATAATGTTATAGGTATAGAAAATTTTTAATAGAAATTATACAGATGGACACTTAACAAATTATCACCAAAATAAACAGTCATAAAAGTATTATCAACGCAACGCTTATAGAGATTCTATCTATTTTTTCCATTCTTGCAGAATAATTCTCTTCGAAAGGGGTTTGTCTAAGATAATTTTAGAATCAAGAATTATTCTTGATAGATAGGCCATAAATGGCTAGCAGACAACCAATCAATAGGGGGCGCCACATCGCCCTCCTAGATAGACAGGGCCACATTCAAGCAAAGTTCTCGTAGGCAGCCAACCAATAAAAAACACCACATTGTCCTTCTGATAATTTACTATTTAGATCTCGCATAATTTGAATGAAAAATGATTTATTTAAAAAAAAAAGGAAAAAGAAAAAGAAAAAAGGCCTCAAAAAAATGATTTATTTATTTTATATATATATATATATATAAAAAATGGGTCTCAACTAATGCACACACAGCACTTAGCACCCTTGATCTGATGGAAGTTACACGTAACGTCAAAACTGATTGATGTGATACAGATTATGTTGATCCCACTACCCCTATACATGAGAAGGTAAACAATTTTTCACAAAAATTCTCTCAAAATCAGCCTTGTCCAACCCCACTAGCCTAAGCATCGGAGAGTTTTCTACTCCATCCTTTCCATTGATCGACTAGTATAAGAAGCCAAGTTCGAATTTGTTCTATCCAATTGGTTAAAAAGTGTCATGTCACCATTTAACAAAAACATAACTTTTGATTAGTTAATTAATTCTCACATTTACATTTACATAGGATCGTGATTGACATCCAGAGCAAACCCCCTACCTATAGGGGGCGCGCCAAATGGACCCTCGTCCCTCTAGGGCCCATGTGCATATGGTAGTTGGTTGAAATACACAAATTTGTGTCCTCTCTTTGGTACTCGTTTTTTGTGTTCCATCAGTTGTGTATAATGACAATCTTTATCCCCACTAAAAATTTGTTATTATTTTTGCTTGCAATATAACTGAATGTGTTATATTGCTTGCAGTACGATTGAATGCTGAGTATCACCAACCTATATAACAAATGAACCAAGATTGATTAAAACAGATTATTATTATTAATATTGAATGCATTTATTGTTTCAATTTTGTTACGTAAGCTCGAAGGCATTCCTAAGTAGGGATGGCAATACGGCAACCCTCCCTCATTCCGCTTAGATTTCCAAAGAGCGGGTCAAGAATTAAAATATTCTCCAGCCCTGTTTGACGGGAATTAATATCAAATTTTTAATAAATTTTGATAAAAACTGACGAAATGTATTGTTAACAACTTTCAAATCTTATAAAATAAGTCATTAAAATTAATTATTAATTAAAATTAAAATTAAAATCTAGATTTTAATCCTTACCAAATAGGACTCAATTTTCAACTCCATTTAATAATTCATTTATTTTATTATTTTAAATATAATTTAAATTTTAATGCATAGAAAAATTGAAGAGTCAGTGCCGGAACCAGGCTCCCTTCCTTGCCACAATTCCACGGGGCAAGATATTTTACCATGGATAAACCTATTTATACACTTTCGGTGCAAGCCCCCCTCCATGTGAAGGGATGTGTAAAGAAATGTCAACGATTATGCCCACGAAAAATGTACATATATCACTACTCTTTTATCATTCCTATTTCTTACACACACAAAAACAAGTACAATCAATAGAATTACACTCAAAATGACTAACTAGTACGATTATCGACACAAATAAATGTAGCCTCTACATTTATTAGTAAGATCCAACCTGAACTTTTCACCATTTAAATTAGGCAAACTAGAGAAGTCAAACGATTGTTTTAAATTCCTCAGAGCATTTCATTAGTAAATACCCTCAGTTAGAAGTCATACATCATCCAACAATCTTCATGTAATAGAAAAAATAAAAAATCCACAACTCAACTATTAGTTTTCGTCTTTATGAGCACTTGTGAAATGAGATTTTCTCCCTCATTTTTTTGCCAAAATTTATTGGGAAGATGGCTTGCTAACGATTGCTTCACTGGAAAAATCGATGGTGCAGTTTAATTGATCGAGCAGTTAAGCACAATCTCATGAGGGGCAATATAAACAATCTCAACAAAATAAACTTGAACTCACAAAGCTGTGTTGCGTAAATTCTATGTAAAGTAAGATTCAATGTTCGAAGATTTTCAAAAGATATATATCAACTAGTTGGCAATGGACCCACCTATAATTGTCCAATAAACCAAAATGAATCACAACTTTATTGACAATTATATATGAGCTCCATCTACTTCCATTGTCACTTAGATCCATCTACTTCCACTGTCACTTAGACTGCTGCTAAATAACATTACTCAAAACGAAAATTCAAAAAGTGTTGTGTAAAATTAATAATTGTCTATTATAAAGACGTATGGGTAAGCTTATATCATAAATCGAAAATTCCTTTTCACCTGTGGTATTCACCTTATGTTACAAGTTGTTCCTCAGATCAACTTGTAGGTGCTCCAAGTTCATATTCAAACCAACTAAAAGAATAGGCTCATGAAACCTTCTTTATTATGCATTGTTTGATTTTGATACTAAACTTGTTACAGACAGTACAAGACGACCATGTTCCCATTCCACAACCGATTACTATTTCCATCAACATTACCACGTATTCAACTGAAAAAAATCCATACCGAAAGCATGTTGATAATATAATATCTTAAATATATCTGAATAAATGTGATACACTGTATAATCGCTGTATTTCAGTGGCCTACAACTCCAATTAGAAAACAATGTGAGTTCTATTGCTGAATTTACGCATACCTGTTATCTTGGCTATCTTTGACACCTACCTGTGTTAAGGTAAAAACGAACAAAAGGTTAAAAGGGTAAAAAACAGTTTCGAGGTTTTACTGATAATATTGTGAAAAATATTTTCGCGAACCCATTAACAAAAATGAAAAATTGGTCAAATTGAGTGACTTTTAACTAAACTGGCAAAGTATTCTCAATTTAAAATGCCAGTTTTACCACTATGTTATTAGTAAAATAAAGGTAGGAATATATAAGTACTAAATTGAGAAGCCTTGAATTGAAAACCTTTGATGGTTAATGTAATTTTAAAGGTCTGGGGAAGTGCCACTACATGTTAATATAGAATTTCATACTGTGCATTTTGTTTAGTGTCAGCAAAATATCAAGTACTCTATTACCTTAAACATCAAGTCAATAACGAATATGAAATAGTTTTCTCAGTGAATAAGACATTAACAAACTAATTAAGACAACTATAAAGCACCACTGAGGATTTGAAGATCGAAGTAGAGAATGGACATACCAATCCCAATGCTTCCACAAAACTTCTCTGCGTCTCTTCGCCACAAACGTTAATGAGTGACTCTAATATCAACTCTCTTTGATCTAAACTTAAATGATTTTCAAGGCCTCGAGCAACCATTTCCATCTCAGGCTGCAAAGACATCATAAAAATATGACCATCATAAGTTATTTGGAGTATTCACCAAAAAACCACATGCCAGTTAACTGAAACTCTCCCAACTTTGCAATGACAGGGAGAATAATCCAAATAGCAATTATTTAATGAAAGGTGACTAAATTATCCACTTAAATGGAATTCTTAACAAACATGGCCTTGTAGAGTGATGATTAAAAAATAAGCACCATCATTTTTGAACAAGAATAGCTAGTAGACAACACATAAACCGTGTTGAATGATCAGTGAAAGCCCATAATATCAACATGCTATAAAGTGATTGCAGTTTACTCAGAGTAACTCATCTTTCAAAGTCTAATTCCAGACAACATGCATAACAAGTGTATCCATCTTTTTGTTATTCACGAATTTAAAAAGGAAGAATTGACCATTATAGAGACTTTAAAACAAGTGTGTCTATTTTTCTACTAGGACAGAGTGTCTGTGTTCAACGTGTCATGCCATGTCGGAGTCCAATTCATGTGCCATTGTCCAATTCTTTGCATATTTAATAAATTAGCGACACCCGAAATATACTTTTAAGACATCCTTAGGGAAGGTGTCTCGACATGTGTCCTATATTAAAAATTATAAAAACAAAGATATAATATATGAATATTATATAATTTTGAAACATTTAAATCAACGTGTCCGTGTCCGGGTCCATGTCCTATTTTTTGGAAAAATTGAGTTGCCGGCATGTCCGTATCGTGTCGTGTTGTGTCGTGCCAGTGTCGTGTGTCCATGTGTGTGCAACTAGACTAATTATGTCCATTTTCAAAGGAGATTGTGAAGATAATGCAAGCTACTGATCATTCATCATTAGTTTTGAAGGGAATATCAATATCAAAATACTGCTTATTAACAGATTACAAGATATCCATGTAGTTATATCCTCAAATTGGAAAACTTTAGCACCAACAAGCAGAAAGGAGACTACAGAACTTCATAAAGCAAGCAAGAGTTGGAATCACATACCGAGCACTTTGGAGGAGGGAATACCCTGTGAATGAGACATATTTTTGACAGTTCGAAGAGTGCTTCAGAATGTTTACCTTGAACTTCTAATGCCTGATATGATAGCATTTGAAACACAGTCAAAACCTCAATGACATAGTATAGATGATGTACATAATAACAGAAGTACCAGATTATCATCACATTTCTTTCAATATTGACAAGGAAGAGCAAGGAAATTTATGAAACAATTAACCCTTGTAGAACATCACTATGCAATTGTATATCTTCTTTTAGAAATGAGATAAAGTAACCGAAGACTTACTGCTCCTCGAATATTGTTTATGCGGAAAAAAGGGATAAGAACTACATAAGCTTTAATCTGGTGAAGGTATTGGTCCTCTTCGAAATAAAATATCTAGCAAAAAATGAAAGGAAAAAAAGTCTCAAGAACAAGAAAAAATAACTCACCCATGCCTGTAGAATTCTTGACCGTGTGCGTGCAGCAACAGCCGCTGCCACCATTCTGGCAGCACGAGTGTTCTCAAGCCCAATGTTATCAGCAAGCCCAGCAATGAACTGTCGAGCATCCTCACCATTTATCTGGACAGAGGTGGATTTATTCGCTATGCTATAGAAGATCAAATTTAAGTTACTTGTATGTGAAAGAAAAATAAGCCTAGAAGACAGAAGACCGTGACAAGTAATTATAAATTTAAAACAAGGTTATACAAGATGAATTTCACCTACATTTCGCAGTAGCTGAGAACCAAGTTTATTGCTGCCCGATAAAGTGAATCCCGTGCATTAGCGGTCTCAATGGAGGTTCTCACTCCAAATGTCTTGCATATGTGATGTAACTGCGCTAAGCAGGAAAAATTTAAATCAACACTTTGGCGCAACTTAAAACTGCTGCTATCAAATATTTGAAAAACTTTGGAATACTCTGACCAATCAATTCAATAAAATCAACACAAAATAGCAATGCTATCCAAAGGGAGTTAGCACACCATCTTAAGCAACTATGCAAATGTGAACAATGACGCCTTAGGAATTGGACAATGTTCCACATTTAACTCGCAGTTTCCACAGAAATTTCTGGTTATGACACGGTCATTAACTAAGTTAGCTTTAATTAATGGAACTTATTTTGGAGTAACCACAAAGATAAAATTCCTCAGAATCTACTTGTTGCAATAATTAGGTACCACATGTTGGATACTACAGTCCAACTCCAATTGTTCCATTGACAAATCAAAAACTTTATTTGCAGCACGGTCAACACACTGGATCCTACTATATAAAGAGAAACTTTTGATATCATATTGCGGAAGAGAGAGATTAGTACTGCAAAGTTCAAAATGTAAATGCAAGGATAGTTTCCTATATGCCATCAAATGCTCATTATACAATGTCCTTAAACATGAGTACCTCTCTGAAACAAAAATAGAACCATTCCAGCACTCCCTTACGTTATCGTGCCTTTATGTGCATTGAACGCCAAATAATAGATCAACAATAAATGCCTAAAAGCACATGCCGTTCAACCCTACCAACAAATCTTAATCCACGCTAAGAAGCAATATGATAAACTTTTACTCCATCGAAGACTTCATAGCCCTGGGTAGTAAAAAATGGTGGGATGCTTTATTTCCAAGATTAAATTTCTATTCATAGTTCCTAAAGCTCCTTGTAAGGCTTGTTGGAAAACCCCTTGTCGGGCTTGATTAATCACCCTTTGCTATTCAAACGGAATCATTTCATTTTTGTAATTTTTATAACATATTAATGAAAAAGTTGCAAGACTAAAGTAAAGTCAATTATATCGATATTATAAAACAAAATTGGTTGGAATTTACTAACTTGAATTATATCATTCGCAGAAATGTCCTTCCCAGCCATTTTGTTGTCCATCATTGCTGGCAATTAAAAGCTAATTTAGATGAAAAGCACAAAACCAATATTCTTAAATGGGCTATATTGAAATATAAAGATCAAATATACAACACAAACATCTAAAACAGCTATAATTCAGAATGAACAAAAATCCTTCCATGCAAGATCCTCGTAGCTGTCCACAGGCCATGCCCATTTCATATATTAAGTAATCTTAAGATTTACTTCTCATGCACATAAGAAACTGCACATGAGGTGGGGAATTGAATGACATTGTGATGCAGCTTGTATTATAATTTTCCGTTAAACATTGTTTTTGGGTAAGAATGTTTAGTGAGAAAAGGGCAAAAAGGTAAATGAGCTAGTACATATAAATGTGTTTCTTTTCTTTGATAACTTATATAATTATTAAAGTATGACCTAAACAATACATTCTTATGGGTAGAAACTTCGTGCGCGTGCGCGTGCGCGAGAGAGAGAGAGAGAGAGCGGCGCGAGCAAGTGAGCTTTAACAAAGGCTTCACGTGGCAATAAGATTTAAGGAATACTTTTGTTTTGAGATAATAAAGGGGAAACCAAACATTTTTTGGTAAATCCTCGCTGTTGCTTTTATTTGACATTTGAGTTATATATGACATAATTTTATGCAAATTTAGATGTACTTAGCCGCTGTTCAACCCCCATTCTCTAAAAAACTCATTTTTCTCAAACTCATTTTCAAACACACATTTTTCCAATAAATTAAATTTGCACGTAAACTTAAAACTTTTATCTACTTTCTTAACTACTTATCTCCGAAAAAATCACTATTACAAATCCCTTTTTTTTTTAAAAAAAGAAAAAAAAGGGACTCTGACATACTCTTAAAGTTACTTAGTTTGAAGATAGTATTTCATAATCAGACAACGCTTTTTATGATGGATTAAATCTGATAACTGATTTCTTAAATTATTATTTCTCTTATCTGGTGCCTTCATTGTAGTGTATATATCTCTAGTTTTTTGCTTCAAAATTTTCTGAGCACTCACTAATTGTTAAAAAAATAACTTCCCCTTCTAGAGAACATCTGATACCATGCAGACAACCATGGGAAGTGATAACAACCAATACTTGATCAAACCAAAATAACAACTGTAAGAGTAAAAAGGTACGAAAAAACAACTTGCTATGCCAACAAATTGATGCATCTACACTAGTTTGCCAATGCTTGAGCCTCAATAAACAATAATATATAATGAGAAAGTTATGTAATCAGGGCCAAAAAACAAAAAAACACACACACACACATTTTTTTCCCATATAGGCCAAACAGGTCCCTGTATTTTTAGGAATCCAAGTCATAATACAGTTTATCTTTTGTATGAATTGACTCATCTAACAAGAGTACATATAAGATGTATGGTTCGTACTATTATTGGTAATTTGATAGAAAAGAAAATTAATCTCTCTTGCAAACTCACACAGCCACCACTGCAACCCAATTTTCCAATGCCATAAACAAACCACAACCACACATCACCACCGTCACTGATAGACATAATACCACCAACAGCTCCTTAAATAGCCGAAGAACCATCAAGCAACCATCAGATACAGCCCTTCTCCTCCTCACACTAGCACTACCACTCCCACCCAAAACGCAACTTTGCCACTCAATCCACCACATCACGGGGTTCTGGAGTGCAGGTTTTCTAAACTATCATGAGGACGGAGAACCAGATTCATACTAATAATGAGTTTCAACTTAATAATTTAGCCCGAAGAATGACACATAGTGCAATTCCCTTTTTTCCAAACGATATCATCATGAACTAAACAACCACATTTTAATCAAATTCAAACATATTTCAAGGAAATTTTCGGTATATATTGTGACCTTGTATCGACGAAACATATTCCCAAACCTACATATTTGTACTACTCAAAGTCTCAAACCAACAATATCTAAGCCTAACGAACTTTGTATGCAGCAAAGAATTAAAATCGTATCAAAGCCCATGTAAACTAAGAATCATGAAACTATGGAAACATTCTCCATCAAACATAATACCAACCAAAATAATCAAATCAAAGTCTAAGAAAGAACAAAGAGCAAATTTCTTTTAACCAACCTCGAACCAATCTATTAGCCATTCTCTGATATTCCTCCTTATTAATCATTTCATTAACATTCGAACTCGAATTCAGTAGCTGAGGCCACCATTGAGGCAACTCTTCCTTCCTCCTATTCCGCATTCTAGTATTTTTCGTTGTTTTATCATCACTATAGTCATTCAAACTCAATGGCGTCGTTCTAGGGGTAGTACCCCAGTTCCCTTCCCTCTTCCCTACTAGCACTTCTCTCCCTCCCAGACTCCGATCTTTCTTATACACCAACACTTCACCGCCCCCTTTTCTTCGTCTAAATAAACCCTTGAAAATGAATACAATTACCAAACTGGACATAAACAGCGCCGCCAAGAACTCAACTGTGGACCTCCTACACGAAATTACAACCCCTCCAGTACTACCATCGACAACGACTAATGTTTTCAAGTCATCAAACGCCTCACGGCCACACTCAATCAATCGATTCAGTTTAATTTCGGACTGGTCTAATAATTGTTTGACGGAATTAGAGGGCCTGATGGTTATTTGGAGGGTGTCAGCAGATGGCTTGAAAATGATGGGCGTGGAAGTGGGATTTGGGGAGTATTTGAGAAGGCGACGGCGGTTGTGGCGGCGGACGGCGGAGTTGATTATCAGGGGGCTGAAGCGACACCGCTCTGGATAATACAAGTACATGAGAATTGAATTTGGTTTAAAATTGTGGGTATAACTGAGAGCAGTGTGTGTGTAAAGCATGTGAAAAAAGCAATTTTCTTGGAAGAATTTTGTTTCTATATGGTGGCAGCCTCTCTGCAGATTCCTTTCAGTACTCTCAAGCTTTGTTAACACGAAGAACAGCTTTGTCTCGTCTTTGTTATCACCTATAAATTCTGTCTTCTAGCTATGTCCGTCGGCCTCTTGCGTGTTTGGCAAAACTTATAATTTCTTATAAGGTGATTAATCTTTGGGCCCGATCTCTGACCTTTAATGACCAAGAGAACCTTACTTATTCTTCTCATCAATTTCAGATTGATCTTTATTTTTATCAGCTTTTAATTATTTGATAGCTTTGCCAAACATTTTGTTCCTCCTTTACCTTAAAATATAAGAATGTCGTTCACCCGAATATATCCGATGTACTTATACTTGGAATTAATCTTTGTTAGTCAGGGTATGTCAGTGTACTTTTACTTGTATTGATTACCTGTGGAGGTCTGGAGTACTTGTCTATGATTTTTGATGTATAGTAATTCAAATTTATCGATCAAAATAAAAAAGGTAATGCCCATAGAAACTAAGGATGTTCAGGTTTGTCTCGTTACCATAACTTTTCATACGCATAATGTCTAACCTTCCTACTAAAACAAAAAACTGAGGTAGGACGCATTTATCGAAGGAGGATGAAACCTTTGATGTCAAACTTGTATGCTACTAACAATTCGCGCTCTTGTTGTTTTCACTCTCGGTCGACTTAATATTAATGATGTGTTTGGTACTATCTCAATTTGACATTATACTTGTTTCTACTCTTTTCATCTTGGTCGAGATCCTCTGAAGATTAGTTGAAACCCCTTAAAAAACCAATCACTCCAGCGCATCTTGAAAGTAGGGTCCCACTCTGACCTAGTGGCTTCCGAAATGGTTGATGATACCTTAATATAAATTTCATCTCAGGTGCCAAACATGCCTTTATCTAAATTTTGTGAAAATACCTATACTATCAGAATTTTGTATGTTGGGTCCTTTGAATAGTGTAAGTCTGCCCCTAGGTTTTGGAAATCTACAGATTAGTCCTCAAAGCTTCATCATGCAGAAAAGTGGTCCCTGAACATTCTGAATGTTACCAATCACTCCATGGAATTTTTTTATGTAAAATGGTCCCTCGAATTTTGCTATGATGAGAATTGGTCCTTAAACTTTTTAAAATATTCTAATCAAACACTGAACTTAAAGAATTGAACCAATTTATTTGCCATTTTTTGTTCCTAGATACATTTTTGTAGTAATAGATCTCAACTTGTTAAAAATCTTTATGCTCAATTACAATAGTGATTGAAGTGCAATTATATTTTCAATTGCAGTGTTGTTACGGAACGTCCATGATCTCGCAATTACTCTCTACATGTAATAACTCGAAGTAAAAAATTATAGCAATCAAAATAAAGCAAAACCTGTCTAAAGCAATGCCTTTCTTCGTAACGCGTAATGTCATATATCTTATCAAACAAGTATCATTTGTAATATGTAACCATACGCACTTTATAACATGGTATTAAAGTCAAAGAAACTTAGTATGTAACACACGACATAATATGCCAATCTATGTGATGTGACATTGCACTTCATTTTAGATAAATAAGTCGCAACAAGTTAGAAGCCATGTAACTTATCAATATTAAGAATTTGTAACAAGCCAATAATCTAAAAAATGTACAATTTGGCTCATCTTATTTCATATCAATAATCACATATGCATCACGAAATGGTGTGTACTTGATCTAAAATATTAACGCGCGATGTTGTAACAAACTATGATATGCATCATAGGAATAACAAAGATGATAATTATATATGACCAAATAGTGAAGAAATGTTTCGTGACAATCCATATTAAGTAGTTCTAATGGACCTAGAAGTTCAAATGCTTGAATTCCTCATATACGCTAAAATGAAAATTCACAACAATATGTCACGGACATATTGTCATATGACTATGTGAGATTTCTCACCAATTTGATTCGTGCTTGTAGGGTAAAATCGTCAAAGTAGTAATTTGAAATTTACTAACATGAATAGTGAAAAAAGACTTGTTAAATATTATTGCTCAAAGTTTAAAAACAAAATAAAATATGAATAATTTTGTCTCAAGATTCCAAAAAATAATTTTAAATTGTTTACCAATTACAGTTTTTTTGATTCATTGGGTTGAAATATAGCTAATTTCTAGAGGTTGGAGCATCACCAAGACACTCTTTAAACACAAAATGCTTTCTATTTTAGAGAGTCAATACTTAAAAATTAGTTTCAAGAAATTCTCTATTTTAACTTTTTAAAATAGAGACTGTGTTTAACTCTCCAAATTTAGAGAGTCAACCCCACTCTCTATTTTTAATGTATAATGATTGCATTTAATAAATTACAAATTTCAATATTCTACAGTTTAAAATTTTCAAATTACATGTGAATTGATTGGTTATTTATATATAAAAAATTATACTTAGATAAAATATGTATAGAAATTATCAAGTGTTCATTGGAAAAAACAAAATAAAGAATCAAAATAGAGAGTTTGTTGGAGCGTATAAGAAAAATTACTCTCTAAATTTAAAGACGTTCTCTATTATGTATAAGATGCTCTTTATAGATAAAGAACATTTTAAAGATGCTCTTATAATCAATATAAGAGTGGTTTATTGGCTATTTTTATTTGGGGTTTAAATCTAGCTAATTTCTAGGGATTATAATTAATATGATAGTGGCTTATCGACTATTATTATTTATGTTCAATTACTTAAATTAAAATAGATCGAACATGAAATATCAACAATTTTAACAATTTTATTTTGGTAAAATATTTAGCAATCGGGGACGTTGTTAATTATTATGGGCGTGTTAACGGCTATTGAAGACTTGAAGTGTTTCAATTACAAAAATTAGAGAGATTATGGAAGTAAGTAATTTTGGTTTATTTTTGTATTATATATAGTATATAAATTATCATCTAGTATTTTATGAAAGGGAGCGTTCCACTCACCAAGGTTTTTGACAAATGGATTTGAACAAAAAAAATAATAAATAGAAAAATGAACCTTAATTTAAATCAATTCAATGGTGTAGATATTAATATTGAAACCTTCCATATCAAACCTCCTTCCACTGCTCCCCATGAACCCCCCGCCTCTCTATTCCTCTTTCTCTCTTCTCTATAAAACACAATATAGATACAGGGAGGAGTCTCTCTCTCTACATGTATAGGATACTCTATACATGGAATGATTTACATGTAGAGAGATTCTCTCTATACATACCAGTGTTCTAAAAAGCGCACTTAGGCATGAAGCGTGGTAGAAAAGTCTCGCCTATGGGCTAAGTGAGAGTTAAGCGGTCAACGACAATGTTGACCACTTAATGAGCGCCTAGGTGCGCTTAGTTATTAAACACGCCTAGGCGGGCTTAGTTATTTTTTTATTTTGTTTATAGACAACCAAACATACTACAAGTCTACAACAATTACAAACCACGGTTTCAAAAATCAAGAGTTTCAACACAAAAATTCAAAAATTATCATTTCGGCAATTCCTCCAGTAAGACCACATCTTTGGCCCACATTTTCCTGGTAATATTGTTGATTATATTAGTGGGTTTTTGTCTTTTTGATTTCGGCTTTTTGCAGATTTGCTCCGTTTTTGGTGGTAGGGTTTATAATTAACTTTGTTGTGTGTTTTACTATTTTTCATAAGTTTGGCTGCTAGCAATTACATGACTGAAATTACAGTTCTTGCCATGAAAAATTACAGTTTCGGCCTTTTGAACCTTGCCATGAAAAATTACAGTTTCAGCTTTTTGTAGCTTTGCCCCTTTTTTAGTGGGGGGTTTATAATTAACTTGGTTGTGTATTTTACTATTTTTCATGAGTTTGGCTGCAAATACATGACTGAAATTACAAGTTCTTGCCATGAACTATTGGAATTGTTGCTGAAATTTATGTGGGTGCATGATAAATTTCATTTATGTGTGTGTTGAAATTGAAATTGTTGCTGAAATTTCATTTATGTGGGCACTTGATAAACTCCATTTGCTGCCATTGTTGAAATTTTTCTGTCTTTCAATCAGTTACATTAATAACATGGAAGAGTAAACTAAATTTTCCAGTGTTTATGTAACTAAATTTTCATGTGTTTCCACTTTCCTATGCTTTTAGGCCTTCAGCTTTTGTGTCTAATTTCAGTTATTATTAGTTTGTTATGAATAATAAAAATTTGTATTGTTCATATTTTTTTAGGAACCAATGGAGGAAGATGATTCCTCAACAGCATCTAAATTCCATGCAAGTCAACTAAAAAGAGATTCCGGAGATGTTGGTTGGGAAACTGCGATTTTGGTAGATCCTAAAAATCTTAATAATGTGAAATGCACGTTATGTGATAAGTTTATTAAGGGAGGAATTTATAGGCATAAAATTCACGTGGCGGGAATCAAGGGAAACGGTGTGGCATCATGTCTTAGGGCAAATGAAGAACAAAAAGCAAAGTGTGGAGAGGCGATTCAAGGGAATAAATCTAAAAAATTAGAGAAGCTAGTGAATGATGCTAGGTTGAGGGAAGATGTGGGTATATCTTTGCCTACAATAGATGAGGAGCTAGAGGAGGAAGAAGATAATGAAATTTCGATTATTAAAAGACAGACTAGGAAAAGGCCTATTAATGTGGGACCCATAGATCAATTTGCAAGCTCTACCAATGTCAATGACGCTTCTATAAATGCAAGTAAGAAATTGAGACAACAAAATATGAATGATGCAATTTCTAAGAAAAGGTTATTAGAGGTTCATCAATATTTGGCAAGATGGCTTTATGAAGCTGGAATTCCTTTCAATACCATTAACAATGATAGTTTTAAACTATTTGTGGAAGCTCTTGGTCAATATGGCCCGGATTACAATCATTCTTCCCAATACCAACTAAGGGAGCCACTTTTGAAGGTAGAGGTGGAGAGGACAAAAGAAACTTTAAAGAAGCAAGAAGAAGAGTGGAAAAATAATGGGTGTTCAATCATGACCGATGCTTGGAGTGATAGAAAAAGAAGAAGCATCACGAATTTGTGTGTGAATTGTAAATTGGGGACCACATTTATTTTATCAAAGGAAGCTTCAAATGATGCTCATAC